CTACATTAAAATTACACTGATGGTAACCACTTTGAGCACCTCTTGTAACTGCAGAAGTCAAACATGACTTGTATTCATCTTTTGTTATTGGTATATATCAAGTATTACAATTTTAATACAGTTTTTTCCTTTCTTAAAATGTGTATACATTTTTTTTGGCACCATCTGTATATGGTGATGGAAGGAAACTAGACTTTTGGTGGGGAGCCTGCAGTAGGTACACAGATGTCCAATTATAATGTTGTACACGTGAAATTTATAATGTTATTAACTAATGTTATCTCAAAAATTGTTTTTAATTGGTTAAGTTGCACCCCTTAAAAGATGCATTTGTATCTGTATTTTCCCCAATATGTATACATGTTTTTAAATAAATGAGTATTATCTACACAAATTGTTTTTGCAATGTAGCTATGTCACCTAACAACATAAAATCAGGGTATTACTTATTGATAAAAAATTAAAATTAAAAAATATTTTAAGTGAAATAGTGAAACTAGGAAATCACCATTTGGTGATTATATTTTCCAAAATATTTTCTAATAATATCTCTAATTTTATATGTCCTTCTTATAATGTGACTGACAGTCTTCCATCAAAAGGTGGGGTCTCTGTCACCTCCTCTTGAAACTAAGAGGGTTTAGACTGGTGACAAATGACCAATAGAGTATGACAGAAGTGACACCATGTGTTATATTAGAAAAGGTTATATCAAATCCAAGGTTATATCAGAAAAGCCAATAGAACTTCTGCTTTATTCCCTGAACACTTACTCTTGAAGCCTTCGGCCACCATACTGTGAGGAAGCTCACACTAGTTCACGCAGAAACCACAGGGCTGAGCCCTGAGACCGTGTAGAGACAAGAATACACCTGGCCAGCCCCCAGCTGCTCCAGTTCCACTATCATTTTAACTGTAACCTCATGAGAGAACCCAAACTTGACTGCTCGGCTGGGCCCTTCCTAAATCCCTGACCCAGAACTGTGAGAGTTAATACATTTTTATTATCGCTTTCCACTAAGTTTCAGGATCATTTGTTACACAGCAATAGATAACTGGGACAACAACTATCATAGTAATGGTAGATTCAGACAATAGTCCTCAATGGATGCCAAAATTAATGATTAAGGTTTGATGAGGAACACGGTGCTTACAAAGAAAGTGTTTCCCCACCAAATATTTATTAATCATGAAAAAAGTTATTAACCACAAAGGGGAAATTGTCACAGTGGCAAATCCTGGCAGTCATCATATTAACAAAGTGATCAAAGTTAACATCACTTTAATGGGACAAATTGACATTGTATACATTGATATGCTGATAAATGTTTAACAACTGGCTGGGGAGGAGGGCACTGATTTGTGACATTTGCTGATTTTTGTGATGTAAAATCTCCCACAATTATCAATTTCAGATTACCACTGATTTGACAACAGGCTGAGATTTTGACAACTGGCTGTTGCTTGCTCATGCAGACCATCCCCAGCAGGCCTGATCCTTGTCTGCACTGAGAAGGACAGAGCATCACTTCTGAGGCATTCTTCTCAAAAATGCATAACTGCAATCCCTTCACAAGGAAACATTAGACAAACCTGAAATGAGGGATACTCTACAATTTAACTGGCCTGTGCTCTTCAAAAATGTCAAGGTCACAAAAGACAAGCAAAGACTGAGGAGCTGTTCCAGACTAAGAAACAATGAGATAGATGATAACTAAATGTAACATGTGATCCTAGACAGGGTTCTAGACCAGAAAAGAAAAAAGCATTTGAAGGGCAAGGGCTAGATGGCAGTATCTCATCAACATTAATTTCCTGATTTGGACGGTTGTACTATGGTTACATAGGAGAATGACTCTGTCTTTAGGAAATGTATACTGGAGTGTTTAGGAATAATGGGGTATAATGTCTGCATCTTAAGTCTCACTGGTTAGAAAAAATGGGATATATAGATATTGAGATATAGATATAGAAAGAATGATACAGCAAACATAAAATGTTAACAATCGGGGAACCTGGTCAAAGAGTATACTAGAGTTCGTTGTACTATTCTTGCAACTTCTCTGAAGGTTTCACATTATTTCAAGGTGATAAATGTTTCATGGTTTTCCCTGAGGTTGGAGCCCAACTTCTAACCTACTGAGAAACAGGATGATTCGCATCTACAACAACCCCCCAGTCTGAATTTCCAGAAGGCCCCCGCTCTTCCCCAGGGGCTGTATTGACTGAAGCAAAAGCTCCAGGACCCAGGAGGAGGGGCTGGGCCAGGGCATCCATCATGGGCCAGATTATGGGGACTCGCTGGGGAATAAGCCTGACTAGTCAGGGATCTCGGTGTCCCTGGCCTTTAGGTTTTTCTAGTTCAGACAATTCATCTGACAAAGAAGGAAAAGGGATTTAATCTCTATCTAATAAATAAATAAATATAGAGTACATGAGTTCAAATTACAAAAAGACGTTTTGTTAACAGAAGGCTTTGCTGCAGATGTCTTTTAAATAAATAATAAGGCCCCAAGTGTAGCATTTCATTTACAAAAATTCAGTTAACACACACGTTTTTCCAAAAGGTATATATGTCAGGGTACCCTCTAGAAAATTCTAAAGGAAGAATGAGTGAAATCATCTTTGTCTACTCTACCCCCTGGCAGAAACATTACTCAGGTCTGAGGCGGCTACAACCTGTTTTTCAGATCTTCATAATTCAGGGTCTGGTTCTGTTGGTGTTTCTAATTATCTGCTAGGACTCAACCTATTGAATCAGGCAAGAAGGCAAGACTGTAGCTGGTTTATTTTGCCAAATCAGAGATCACACCAAGTCCAGGCCAGAGACCATACTTTCCTGGGAGGCTCCTGTAGCCATGGCAACTTGCCACAGAAGCTCTCTTTGCTAAGTTCCATTTTTACCATTTATTAAATGTAAGTCAGCTGAGTTGGGACCTATGCACCCTCTACTAAGACTGCTTAAGACAATGAATCAAAGACTCTCAGAATTAGACAGGATCTTAGAGGTCATCTTGTCTCATCTGGGTATCAGCCTGTAGTTGAGGACCCCTAGTCAGCAAAGCTTTTCCCAGTATCGTGACCCAAACAGTGATAGACTACAAATGGAGAGATGGTTGGCTGTTGCCTGAGAGCTCAGATGCAGGTGAGGGATGATGGATGAGAAGATAGTCACTTGGGACTTTTAGGAATTCTTTGATTCTCCTTCACATCTTTAGTAAAGTGAGGACAGGGATGGGGATAGTTTCTTGCCCCCCATCTCCCAAATACCAGGCTAGGAACCAGAATCTGATCACATGAAGTCTTCTGTTTGAGGAACTCTGCTCTGCTTCCTCCTGTCTCAGCAACCAGCTCAATACATAAAAGTTATGTCCATTCATTCAACACATCGTTCACTGAGTACTGACTAAGTCTGGGGCATGGAGCTGGGCTCTGGTTTACAATGAAATAATTATTAGTGCCTGCCTACATGGAGCTTATAGTCTGGTGGGAGGAAGACTATGAACACAGAAATAAATATAAAATTACAAATTGTAATAAGAAGGAAATAAGCAAGGTGCCATGAGAGAAAATAAAAGATTAGAGAGGGTCAGGGAAACCTTTCTGAGATAGTGACATGAAACCTGAAACCTGAAGGGTGAACAGGAGTTAGACAAAAGTGGAAAGAAAGAACATTCCAGGCAGAGAGAATGAGAAAAACCCTGATGCAGGATAGAGCTTAGGATATTTGAGGAACAAAGAACCAGTGTAGCCAGAGTCTGGTGCATTAAGGGTAACTGGGGTAGGATGATGCTGGAAGGGATCCAGGTTAAAAAGGATGCTCTATGCCCTGTTGAGACATTTGGGATTATCTAAGTGCACTGAGTTATAAGCAATGGAGTAGTAACCTGAATTAATTTAATTTTTAAAAAGTCATTGCTCTGTGAAAAATGAATTGGAAAAGGCAAAGAGAAGAAAGGGGAGCTCAATCAGAAGGCTACTGTAATTCAGGCAAGAGGTGACAGTTGCTTGAACTCAGCCAAAAGTAGTAGAGGTGGAGAGCCATGGATAGATTCAAGATTCATTTTGATATAGGGAGCAGGGGAAAGGGCAGTATCAAAAATTTCACTGGAAATTTCTGCTTTGAGCAATTGGGGGGAATGGATGGAGGTGCCATTTACCAAGATGGGAAAAACCAGGGAAAGGTTGAAAGGGAAGAGACTGAGAGTTAGAAATTGCACATAGTAGGTTCTGAGATTCCTGTGAGCCATCCAAGTGAATAAATACATTTGGGAATCATCAGCCAATAAATGGTATTTAGAAGCAAAAGAATGAATGAGCCTACCTAGTAAAAGAGTATTGAATGAGAAAAGAGAAAAAAAGAGGAGAAAAGCAAAGAGACAAGAATAGAAGACAAGAAGGAGTAAATGCTGAGAAAATCCAACACAGAGATCAGATAGAGAAAGAGCATCTGGAAAAGGGACCCAGATGCAATGGCCAGAGAGAAAGGAGAAAACCAAGAAAGTTCATATCCCTGAGGTTGAGAGAGAAAAGTATTTCAAAAAGATGAGTTCAGTCAGCTGATCAAGTGTTCCTGAGATGTCGAGCAATATGGAGGCCATTGATAACCTTCACAAGGTCCGGTTTTTTTTTAATTGGGGGGATGGGAACAGTGCTCGAGAATTGGGGGAAGGGGAACAGACAAGTTGCTGTCGTTTTGTTCTTCAATCTAGTTGTGGAGGACGTTGCTTCACTGGCCCAAGTTGGCACCATCTTTGCGCTCTTCCCTGGCGAGGCAGATCAGTTGCCGGCTTCTGGGCGGCCGCTCACTGCGGCTGCTGGCCACTCACGCTGGCTGCTGGCTACATACAGTAGCCCATGGCAACCCACTGCAGCAGGGGCTGCAGCCTACGCCGTCGAGGGCGACTCACGGCAGCCCAGCTCCAGGTTGAGCTGTTGTTCAGCATCTTAGCTGTAGAGAGCAGTGTCACTGGCCCTCATATGTGGGATCTGAACCGGGGCCCTCTGGCGTCCCAAGCCAGTTCTTAATCATTGCGCCACTCGGCCGGCCCACAAGGTCGGTTTTTATAAAGAAATGGAGGTGGAGATGATACTGGAATGGATTCAAGAATGACTGAGAGAAAGCAGAAACAGCTGGTGGAGGGAAGCAGAGGAATGGGGTAATAAATGGATGTCTTCTCACTTTGGCCTTCTGGCCAGATCAGCTACAAAGTTATTCCATCTCTTCTCCCAGGTTTTCATGGCAGCCTTTTTCTCAATATCCAACAGGGCACTGTACCTGCAGGAGAAGAGGCACCCAGGTTAGCACCGGGGAAGGGGTTGGGGAGGAGGACGGGAGTACGAGGGAATCTCAGATGCTTGCAGAATACCTTCCTTCCCAGTCCAAGAGCAATAACGAGACAGAGACAATGTGGAGAAAACCCACAGAAACTTTCCAGACTTCTGGCCCAAACCTCTAAGGGAGGTAAACACAAGTGTGGGAGGGAAAGGGAGTGGAGATCTGGGAGGTACACAGGTCACTCACTTGATAGAGTTCATGGCCAGCTGTTTGAGTGTCCGCAGGTCGGCCATCATCCCACCAAAGCCCATGAAGGCCTCATAGAAATCATAGGACAAGCCTTTGGCACCAAAGATAGCTGGGTCATCAGAGCTGATCACTATGGGGTACCCAGTGGCCATGAGAACAGCTGCAGGGTGGTTTCTCAGGTCAGACACCAGCTTCAGAACCTGCCCAATGGGAGGCAAGGAGAGAGACAAACTTTGATCCATGAAGAGCCATCATAAGGAAGGTAACACCATGATGCTTCTTTCTTATTCCTATCCCCATCCTGAATGTTGGGGTGGCTTCTGGGTGAAGTCCTAACACAAGGAATAGAGCCAATTCCCATACTCTTGCTAATTTTCTCCCAGTTTCATCACCACCACAAGCATCTGGTCTCTCTCTCAGTCTTGTTCAGAGCTGCTCTCTGAACACAGCAAGACAAGCAAGCTCAGAAAGAGCCCCAAGCATTATGGAAGCAGCAGTGCCTATAATCCCTGCCACTCACTGGCCTCCCCCAATGTTCCCTTAGCTTTGTCCACAGCTTTGCCCAAAATTCTACCCCACTGGGGATCCTCACTGCTGCCTCATTATTATGAATGGTTTAAGTAAAGGGCCATCCCTAAATAACTTTATCAATGAGAGTGAGAGAGTGGAGGAATATATTGGATTGTCAGAAAAGTCATGATGCATTTTTGCAATGAAAAACAGAAAAAATATGTCATGGCTTTTCGGCCAACCCAAGAGAAAACAGATGAGTTAAGGACAGAGAAATTATACAAGAAAAAATTTGGGAATCAAGGCAGAGGTTGTAGGTGGGGGAGAAATTCGTATTGGGTGGGTCCCATGGATCATGCATACCTGATTGGAGATGGGACAGACTTCTATGGGGATGTCCTTCTTCCATAAATTAGTCCAGGCTGCTGGGTGTTTGCTCAAAGCAAACCCATGGCCAATCCTGGTAGAGTTCAGTATTAGGGCATCCAGAAGGTTTCTGTCCATGGAAGTACCCTGCCAGTCTGGGGATAAAAAGGTAGACTTCAGTCCATCTGGATCTGACCCACAGATTGTCCTCAGATAAAGGCTCCAGACACCCCAAGTAAGAAAAGGAAGATAAAAGAACATTAACACACACACACACACACATATTTTCCTTATAACAATGTTAAGAGAGGTATGGCATGCCTTTATTTTATATGTGTGTACGTATGTATGAATGTATATGTACTCATATGCAACAAATAAGGAAGTTAAAATGCGCATAGGCTTTATAAATTGAACGAAGATACTCAGCTAGTAAGTAGCACAACTGGGTTTCAAACCTTAATTTATCTGACCCCACAGTCCATATTCTTTCTTTCCATTTTTCCAGAGCTATTTTCTGGAAATTTTATGTTTATAATCTTTACAACAATGTGTTGCAGACTCCGTCAATATAATTATTTGTATGTACTTACTTTATATCTTTAACAGTACTCCTGGGACGATATCAATTGCAAGATTGCAATGGCTGGCATGAACAAAGCGGTGGCAGATGCTATTGACTGCTTACTCACCAGCCATCCCCACTGTACTTTCCTTGCTGGTAGGGCCCTATTTAGAGGGTGAAAATGACAGGTTCTGACTCTCCTAGCTTCCCTTGCAGCTAGGGTAGTCCTAATGCTGGCCTGAGCAGTTATTTGTGGGGAGCTCCTGAGGCTTCCTCCCTAATAAAAATAGATGCACTGGAGGAAATTTCTCGTCTTTTGCTTCATTGGATGTGGTCATGTCTGAATGTGATTTCGTTATCCCATGGCCAAGTAAGGTGAAATCTCAGATTCAATGAGGACAGCAGAGGCTGCTTATTATGAGAGATAATAAATGACCTTATTATAAAACCTGTCGGATGTGTGTACTCCATTCCTGGCAGCCAAAAGCATCCTAGCTAATCCACAAGTAAAATATGAAAATTCCACTCTTCTATTAGGAATAAAACCCAAGAATTCCCATTGCTGATTAGGGCATGTGTTTTAGGTAGATTTTCACTGGTTTCCTATCTAGTACATTCTTTTCAAAGATTTCTTCTTAAAATAAATGAGGACATTAGTTTTGGGTATTAAATACCCAAGTCCTGGCAAAATCTTTTCCTAGGACCATGCATCTTGGAATTTGGTTGGATCCTGTGTTAGTGTTTCATACTGTTGAAGTGATCTCACACAGGTAAGTATGATTTTCCCAACTATTAGGTTGTCGGAAAAGTCATGACACATTTTTTCTATGTTTTTTGTTGCAAAAATGAGTCATGACTTTTCCGACAACCCAATAGATCACAAGTTCTTCAAGGTTAACAACTCCCTACTCCCTTACCCAATCCTGTCACTATTATTATTATTATTAATCATTTTAACCTTCCGTCGGGTGCAATTGATCTCACAGATTCACTGCACATAAAGATGCCACTATGAAATACGCCTTTTTATTTTTAAGTGGTGAAAGTTTATTAGAAAAGATAGTACACTCCAAAGAATTAGGAGTGGGCCAAGCACAAAGAAAAAAGCAGCTCAAGGCCATGAAATACATCTTTACTGTACTAAGTCACAAACACATCAGGCGATACGTTATGGTAGTGGGGGAAGATACAGAAGCGATGAGTCACGATGCTTAAGTTAACTGTTAGATATTTGAAAATTAGTGTGCAATGAATCTGTAAGATCAGTTGCACCTAACAGAGGGTTAATTAAAGTTTACTGGGGTGACAATTGTTAGCAAAGTTACATAGGTTTCAGGTGTACAATTTTGTAATACATCTATATATCACATTGTGTGTTTACCACCCAGAGTCAGTCTGTCACAATTACTTAAATCTCCTAGAATAGCTTTGATCTAAATTGGATCTAAGGTGACTTGAAATGTCAAGAAAAAGAGATAAATGCACTCAGACCCTTCCTCTGACAGATGGCGTGATAAACCAAGGTTTAAACCTGGTTGTGAAATTTAAGCTCTCCACTGTTCTCTCCATAGCTCCTTGTGGTGACATTGCCTAAGGTACTCGGGGGTGCCGGGGGGGGGGGAGTTGGGGGTTCAGCAGCAAGCTTTCCTCCTGGTCTAGGCCCCCCAAATCTTCATTTTGATGTGAAATTGCAGCCATGGCCTGAGACTCCTTTTGCTTAGGGTTTACACATTTTAAGAACTGGAAGTTGACAGGGGCTGAGAGATGCCCAAGCTCTCGAATCGAGCTTTGGAGAACAAAGACATGCTGGGTTAATGCACTTCAGAAACAGTAACAGTCAGGCAGCTTGGGTAGGGCAGGGCCTCCTCTTCAGCACTGATGAGTGTGGACAGAGCCTCCTCGAGGCCAGGGCAGACCGGTTCTAGTCCCTCTTTGTGTGGCTTTGAATAGGTGAGTTAACCTCTCAGGCACAATTCACTAATTATAAAATGGAGATCAGAAAGGGCTCAAATTCAGACCCCACCACTTACAGCTCTTTACCCTTGGACCAATTATACTGTGTTTGTGGAGCCTTAGGCTCTATAAAATAAAGATAATAACACCTTCCTAGCAGAACTGGGGTGAGAGTCAGAAATAATATGTGTAAAGTGTCTGATACTTTATTAGTATTGTTGTTCCTTCTCCTGGGATTTAACTCTGCTGTCAGGATTAAATGAGATGGCACATACGAAATGGCCAGGTGCCACAAAGCGACTACTGGCTATAACTCTACTGCCCCAGTGTCCCATCCGTTCTCTTGAGTGATAATAAGCAGCCCTCCTGTCCATGCCTGCCTTTGTCCCCTGATCATCGCCCCATGGCTCACCTGTCTCTCCGGCATGAAAAAAGTAAGGCAGTTTGAAGCCTTGCGAGGCTGGAATCATCAAAGCCTCTTTGTAGTAGTACAAGGAGTAGCCAGTGTCCTCACGCCCCACCTGCAGGACAGAGAGGAGGGGACATGGAACCCTCTGCTTGTCCCATACCTCACTTTGCTGATGGTGCCGCCAGCAGCCTGTGAACAACTTTCCTTGTACCCTGCCACTACTGCTTGAGGCCTTAGTCATCCAGCCTTTTAAGAATGACCAGTAGCAGATTAGGACAGAAAAGAGTGCATTCTTGCCCCCAAATTTCCCCCTTAGTAAGAGACTGTAGCTCATAGCCTCTCTGCCCCTCCCATCTTGTCTTCTCACACCACCTTACGAGCCCCTATGCTTTAGCCCTGAGCTCCTTGGTGAGGAGAGACAGTAACAGAGAAATAACAAGAGACAGAGAATAAGAGAAGGAGAGAGACAGAGACAAAGAGAGAACAAGAGCGTGAGTAACTGAGAGTGAAAGAAACAGAGAGAGTGAAGGAGAGAGAGAGCAGAGCCCTGAACCAGGAGGATTCAGGATGCAACTCGGCCACTCATCTCCGGTGGGTCTCTGGGTGGGTCAGTTTCCTGGCAGAGTCCCTCTGTGACTCAGCCACTCAGTTATAACTAACCAGAACAGCAACCACCCCCAAATCATGCTTTTCAACTAAGCCACAGGTTTCCTGGGGTTTTGTAGCTAGCTGTGTTCTGGCAGTAAGAGTGCCTTTCGGCAGGGCCGGCCGAGTGGCGCGATGGTTAAGAACTGGCTTGGGACGCCAGAGGGCCCCGGTTCGGATCCCACATATGAGGGCCAGTGACACTG